CAGTTATTTTGCCGTTTTTAAAAACACGTTACCTTACAGTAAGATTCGAGACCATTAATGAAAATAGTTCTTGTTAATTCAAGTAACTCTGGTTTAACTCTCAGGTTAAAAATATACAGTGGCCTGTCAACAGTAATCACGCTGCGTCTCTGCTTGTCTCCTTTTTTCACAGCCGGCTCCAGCGTCATCTCTTGCGTCAGCTGTTTCTTCCTGTCTTTCGGCAACAGCGAGTCAGCCATGATCGCTCTGCTGTGCCTGTTTGGTGGGATCAGCATCGCCTCCTGGAACTCCCTGGACGTGCTGACCGTCGAGCTCTATCCGTCTCACAAGAGGTGGGTGATTTAGGCGTGCTCTGACGTCCTGAAGGCAGCAGCACTGAATGATGTCAGAGGACCTGCCTTCTGTGATTGGTCGGCTTTCAGGGACAGACGACATTGTGGGGTGAAATTATTGCTGCTGTTTGGACTGCAAAGCTCATTTTGGCATTGAATGGTTTTCATAAAGCAGATTTAATTATTACATGTATGCATCTAAAACTGATTTAAAAATAGAATAATTTAGATAAAGAGGAGCAAAATAAAATTTTTTCTATCAGAGATCAGCTTTTAGATTCGATTGAAGGGGAAATACCACCATCAACAGGTTATAATAAGAAATGGCATAAAAAAATCCTGAGATGTTCTTCAGTTTATTTGATTCATAGTTTGGAAATAAATTAAGGAGCAGTATCTTGTTTAAATGAGAAAACATGAGTTCTTCAATTAGTTTTAAATCTCATTAAGACTAAGATATCTTCTCTTTTAACTAAGAAAGATCATAACAGTAAAACAGCATAACATCTTAGGATTTTAGATGTCGTCTGATTAGAGGCAATCAGGAGTTTTTTTTCTTTTTAACAAGTCATATTCTGTCAGAGGAGCATATTTTTACATTTCTTTAAAACAAAAAACTCTCTGCATCCCATTATAATAAAAACTTTCTTTTTTTTAGCAACTTTTACAAAAACTGTGAAAGTTTCTCTTTTGAACAGGATATTTCTCCTGAATTTATTTCCAAGCTTTTTTCAGTTAAACGCTTCAGTTGTACTCTCCTTAAACACTTATTGAACTTCCAACACGAATCCAGCGTAACTGTTGTTCTCTCCTCTTTCCTCAGAACCACGGCTTTTGGCTTCCTCAACGCTCTGTGTAAATTAGCAGCCGTGCTTGGCATCAGCATCTTCACTTCATTCGTTGGCATAACCAAGGCCGTGCCCATCCTGTTTGCCTCTGGCGCGCTGGCAGCAGGCAGTTTTCTCGCCCTCAAACTACCAGAGACGCGGGGTCAAGTGCTCCAATAGTGTGGCGCCTGCAGCTCTGCAGAAGGCAGCAGAGCTTTAGCTACACTGCAGAGGAAACGGCTCAAAAGTTCATCAAATCGTGCCCTCTGACCCCACCCCACACTCACCTACATCCACAGTAAAACAGTAAACTACAACATGAATTTGTTAAGGTGCAACATTCAGCCATGAGAGTAAAGGTTAGTGCTGTTGCTGCATCCTGATAATTCCAGAAAAAGATTATGTTTGTTGATGTTTACTAAAATCTGGAGATGAAAAAAACAGTAAACCAATGTAGATGTAACTCCATTAAGTTTTGTCCCCCTCAGTGTAAAAGCATCCAGGGTTGGAGGTCAGTGACTCTGATAGTTAGCAACGCAAACAGACTCATAGAAATGACCACTAGCCATCATTGCAGAGTTGTCCGTATTCACCTCCATTCTTTTGAGCGACATCAACTCACCTTTGAAATTGTGAGTTCTTCATCTCTGTTGGACATCTGCTCAAAAATGCAACAATTCCTGCCTTGATTGGAAGCATTTTTGACTCTGCGGGGGAACACCAAGACGTGTTCGTCTTGGCCTTCCTTACTCTGTCTCTCCTGAGGTCTTGTGTTGGTGTCTAGACTAACTGCCATTTTGTAGATAATAGAACATTCTGGGTTTGCTTTTGTTATCGTTACGAATCGGAGATGAATCTCCCTCCCTTTATGGCATCACTTTGGATCGCACCAGAACAGGGATGAGTTCGAGACAAGCTTTCTGTGTCTGTCCATCTAAAGCACAACCATTTGTCATGAGAACATTTTCCCAAGGAAAATGTTCAGAATCTCCCAGTTAGCCATTATTCCAGTCAAACTGTATGTCCCTTTGTGAGAACTGCCTTTTCCCTTCTCCTTTATGAATATACAGGATGTGTGTCTTTAAGCTGTTTCAGAGGGTGTTATGCATGTCACAAAGTATGAACTGTATGTAAACTTGAAAATCCAGACTATAACATGTAAACAGAGTTTTACTACATTTGCTCATATATTGTTCTCTATCAAATTTCTGTAGTATCTTGACAGGACACTAGTTCTATATTTCTTGGTACCTTTAACAGTCCTTCCCAGGTGTTTTAGAGCACACTGCACGAAACGATGCAAAACTTGAAATGTCTGAAAGAAGATCATGATCGATGTAGAGAAGTTAGCTAATCGCAGTCACGTTTAAGTTTTCACTGAGAACTCAAAATTTTAACAGTTGTGAGTCATCTTTGCAACTGAAACCTGGCAAATGGTTGTTTATTTATTAAGTCTGTAATCATTCCATAAATGCACCTTTATTTTTTACAATGATAGGGGTGGGGCGGTTTGGAAAATCCATGGTTCAGTCAGGTTAGCGCACCATGAATACCAGCCTACAGAAAAATCATCTTTAAACCTTTTGTAGATGTTCAGCACACCAAACTTCAATTTATTGAAACTGACTTTCTATGTTTGGTGAATTCACCAACTCCCTCACAATTCCTTATATTAGCTGATTTCTTGCTGCCTCATTCTTTTTTTTGTGTGTTAGTAAATATTCAGTGGTTGCATAGATGAGCTAACAGGTGGGCTGTGCAGCTGCTAGCATTAGCAACATGTGTTGCTAAGTGTTTCACTCTGGTCTCAGTTTTATTCACTTTAAACACTTGCTCAATAGTTATGGAAAAACTAAAAAACATTGTAGCTGGTTTCTCCTTTCAGTTTGATCAATACGCTTTACATACTGTGCATCAATTTATCATGAGTAGCTACCATTAGCATGTGATACAGTAGCTGAAATGGGAGACCCAATCATCTAAATCCTCTCATTTAACCAAACAATATTTCTGCTGGTACTCTCAGTATGACTGCTGGTTTCTACAACTTCAAGATGTTGATGCTCCAGGACTTTTAGTTGTTAATGACTCACAAGTCCTGAACCGAAACATTTTTGCAGTTTACCTTCATCCCAATTAACCGATATAGGATAACAAGCTTTATTTGCCTTTTATGAATTAAATATATTAAATTCAACACCATCAGGGCTACACCTTTAACCTGATTATTGTTAGAACACAGAACTGATTGGGACATTAATTTAACATGCAGGATAATTAAGTCTTTTCCTGGACTTTAGCATATGATAGGAGCAAGACATAAAAGCACACTTATCAGAAAGAGATCACTAACAATTATCATATATTCCATACAGGTCACATGCATTCCCACTTATATTCACAGCTGCTTTCCAGAATTTGGAAAATTAATCATGTCAGACCAGTTTTTCTTGTCCAAACTGCCATTTTGTAGGATAGGAGCCATATGTAGTTTCAATTGAATATATAGCCAAACCACTGCACTAAGAGTGCATTGTGCACAATTCTGAGAGCCTTGTGTTGTTTGACACTCATCCTGATGCGCATTAGGCTGGACAAGTAATGAAGAACCAGGGGAACATTTAATGAAAGCACAACCTTAATCGACCAAATGATGATGTTGTGAACATGCTGTAGGTTTACACAGTTCTGCAAAAAGAAAACGACCCCTCGTTTATTTGCATTTACTTTATGCTGATCTAGATTTATCACCTGATCCATCATCTATTTGTGTGCCATGAGTACCACCTCTCATGAATTATTGCCAAATATTTTCTGTGGCCTGAGTTTACACATTATGACAAGAGATCTGCTATACATATAAATATATGTAAATAAAATAAACTATAATAGCACTAGTAGGATTTTTAAATGATTTCCCCCCATGGTCTTTACAATACTAAAGTCATTTTTTCCTGTTTGTTCATGTAGAGCAGAAACACTTTTATTTTCTCTCTGAAACTGATTCAAAACACCAAGTTTGACAGTTCAGGTGCCCTAGAAAAAAACAAATCTCTTTGACTCGCAAAAAACTTCAGAAGCCAAAATAATTAGCAGACTACATTGCAAAATGTCCATCACAGCCTCTCAGAAGCACACTGATAAACCCTGAAAAACAGAAACTGCACATGTAAGAAATAAATTCTCTGCAGACCAGCCCATGTCACACATCAAGATTCCTCTGTTTTAGCAGAGAGTGCTGTTAAAATGCTAACACGCTTCTCTCATACATATCTAAGCCTATGTTACAGGGTGTTTTTGTATAATTAACTTGTTGCCTAGGCAACAGTCAGTTGTGAGTGCAAAAAGTTAACAAAGCAATAAGTGTTTGGGTGTTTGTCTCTTACAAAGTTGTTGGCAGTTGAAGCACATTACTACATGCTGGCCTTTTTCCACTGAAGGGATTGTTTAGCGTATTTGAATTGTGGCTGTGTGGAGTAGTGTTGAGCTGTTGGCGTCTTACCTGCAGTAGACAGCTGCTCTGAGCAGGGAAGATTAAAAGAGAATTCACACCTAAAATATAAAATAATTCTAAACTTTTCTAAAAGTTTGGCTTGTTTAAGATGGAGACAATTCACTCCTTAACATGTCTGTTCCTTAAAGTTTTAACTCCACCTCTCAATGAGATTTTCTTTTTCAATCATCAATCTGAAAATCGCCCTGACTGCTGTGTTTTTCACTGACTGCTCAGAACTACTCCGCACAACATTACATCAAAAATAAACTCTCCCACTAATGAAGACATGGAATAAAAAAGTTAACATTTGTGTGTGACTCTCTAAAACCACTCTTGGTCTTGAGGCTTCTGTCGATACAAGTGCATCACCATAAATTAAACGTAACAAAGAATTATCACCTTTGTCACTGTACCGTGCTGTAGAAAATGTAGTTGATTGTTTGTAAGTATAGAAACTGTGGAATCAAATATAAAAAAGTGATAAAAAAAAAGTGTAAATGAACAATGCTGTATGTTGTCTTTTGATTTTATGTATTTTGTAAATGAGAATGAGATAATACAGTAAAATCATCAATGTCAAACACCAGTTATGGATCATAGTTAGATTAAAAGTGCAGATGCAGTTTTGTTTAGAGGTGTGTGAGATTCCTCCATGTTGATTTTTGATCAGGATCGCACTTTGATGTGATCCTTTGGAACTATAACAAAACGTTATGAAAATAATGAACAATAAACACGTGGAAAAGATGGATGGAAAGTCCATTTATTTAAATTGTCAAATATATGTATAATTACACCTAATGATCTTTGTGCCCAGTCACTGCGCTAGATTCCCCTGCTGAAGGAAAACATGTTGTAGCTTGTTTAAATTTTGCTGCAGAAGATACGGATAAGCAATAAGTAAAGTTCTTGGTTTACTGGTCCATCTGTGTTCCAGCCACCATGGTGGTCATGTGATTCTAAACTAGCGTTGTCTGGGGGTCACCCTTACAGAGAATCTGCAGATTGCCATTATGTAGCAAGGACTTTGATCTGCTGATTCTCTGCATCAAATGGAGCAACAGTGATTCAGATAATTACTTTTTCACAAAGGGCAAGTTAGTAGATAGATTCATCCCGTAAATGAAATTATCTCCTGAAAATCGTATTTTGTGTTTACTTAGGTCATCTCAGTCTGATTTTTAGCATATTGATCAGCAGGGGATCTCTAGTTGTATATATTTTAAAAAAATATTGAGTATTTATCTCATTAGTGCTTAATTATATGGAAAAACGTGAGCCTTCAGGTCTCCTTTTCCCTGCGTTTTCATTTCTGCGCGGCTCACACACCGGTGAGCTGTAAAGGAGCGGACCCGCTGGAGGAAGCCAGCAGATGGCAGCCGAGCAGCTAAAGGCGCTAGCCGTCATAAAACTTAAAAGAATACGAAGAAGTCGCTCTGTCTTTCCTTTGAAAGGTGAGTGTTTTAGGTAGTTGGAGAATTTTATCTAAATGAGAGTTTGGTCAACATGATTTGTTTCTTCATGTCAGTGGTTTATATATTTATGTTCTGCTGTGTTTAGCTTACAAGCTAAGTAACAGCGGCTGGTAGCAAGCAGCTAAACAAGCTAAGCTAACATTATAAAACAATCAGGACCTTGTTACTGGATGTTGTCTCCTTTCTACAGTCTCAAATACACATAAACTGTCTGTGGTTGTAAATCGGCCTTAAAGCCCCTTAAAAGAGTTGGATGCTATTTTCAGTCCATCCTGATTTGGTAAAATAAAAGTTAAGAGCTTCTTACATTTCATGTAATCAATGCCCGTCCTGCGTGTAGTGTGTTTTCGTCAGTGCTTTGCTTCTATATTTAATTTGATATGCTTAAATGGAGCAGCTGATTTTGTTTTAATATGTCCTGCGTTATAAAGCAGAGAAATGCCAACTCTAATCAGCCTGGGACCTTCTTGGTGCAAAGCAAGTTTGTTTCGGCAACAAGGCAATTCAGAATGCTTTACATGGTGAAGATGTAAAACATGGCATAATCAAGGAAAACTTGAAATATAGACTCATATCAATATTATAGTTATTAATCTAAGGCAACTTTAAACAAACTGTTTTTTAGCTCCCACTTAAAGGAACTCAGGGTTTCAGCAGCTTTGCAGTTGAGTTTCTCTAGATCTTGCTGGGACGTTAGTCCTTTAATCCTGGAAATGTTCTTCAGGTGATAGAAGGCCGACTTTGTAACTGTCTTTATGTGTCTGAAGGTTCATGTCTGAATGCATCAATAATTTTCAATCGACAAAATGACCAACATATTTGATGTGTTCTGATGATTCTAACAATAGAACTTCACAAAATGCAACGTCTGTTACTGGTTTTCACAAGTATCGACTAAATGAGGTGTTTGATGTTTTTGTAAAGTAAAGCACTTTGAACTGCCTTATTGCTGAAATGTGCTATACCAATAACCTTCACTGGTAACTAATCTTATAATTTGCTTTAATCTGAGCTTGCAGATTAAACAAGTGGGGATCCAAGATATGACCTTGTGGAACGCCACATGTGATTTCTGCCCACTCCATTGAAAAGTTACCCATTGAAGCCTCTGTTCTTTAGGCAAGACTTGAACCAGTCCAGTACTGTACCAGAGCATCTGACCCAGCTGGAACAGGAGGATGAAAATGAAACATTCCTCATGATCAGATGAATAAATCTGTTTTTGTTCTCCACAGTGGCTGATGCTTCCCAGTGTCTCCCGCTGCACTCGGCCCATCTGCCTTTCTGTAGTTCGGCCTCTGGCTCACTTCAGACCACCCATGGACCCGGACCCTAACCGGCCCGTTGAAACAACCATCAGAACCAAACTGACAGAGAAGTTCAAGCCCGACCACTTGGAGGTCCACAACGAAAGCCACATGCACGCGGTTCCCCCCGGATCCGAATCCCACTTCCGAGTCCTGGTGGTCAGCACTCAGTTTGTGGGTCTGCCGCTGATTCAGCGCCACCGTCTGGTCAATGAGGCGCTGAAGGAGGAACTGAGTAGCCGTGTTCATGCGTTGGCCATCCAGGCGAAGACCCCTGAGCAGTGGGGCGTGGACCCTGCTCTGGGCAAGAGCCCGTCCTGCATGGGGGGTTCGAAAAACGACCGCACCGTCGAGGAGAAGCTGAAGGCCGGGCGGGAATGAAGCGCTGGACTCTCGCAGCCCGCTCTTTGGTTTTATCTGCTCTGAAGGTAAAATGATGGAAGAATAAACCATCTCTTCACATTAATATTCATCTACGGTGATTTCCCTGATGTTAGTGTAAAACTGAGTACAGATGAGAATAATCAGGTTGGTTTTCTGTGCTTTTCTGCTGCTGAATGTAAATAAAAGTGTTTTCTGAGATTCATTTCCATTTTGAAAGATTTATTTGCATAAATATCTGCTTATTATATTAGGAGGGAAATTATTAGCTATTGGATTTATTTCTAGTTGAAGTCAAAACGTTTCAGTTCAGACATAATGCTGTTTGCAGTGATGCTGATTTAAAACCCAAATCTTTATCAATTAAATAATCCCTTTAACTTTTTTCTGTGTTTTATGTTTGTTGCATGTTATTTTGTTAAATGAAACCTTTAAGTCGGATAGTATTTTTTTTATTTTGGGTCAAACTGAGGATAAAGTTAAGCTGGTTTACTGTTGGTTCTTGTATTGGATGTTAATTAGGGATTTCAGTGTAAAGGGGGCTGACTATAGATATCTGTTTCACTTTTTAGATTTTTATTTCCTTCCACTTTGTGTTGGTTTGTCATATAAATCCAAATAAAATATGCAAATATGTTAAGTTTTTGAAATAACAAAATGAGTAAAGTCCAAAGGGTCTTCTCAAAAATCACTTTTTTTCTTTAATATTTTATTTTCCATATCACAGTAAGCTGTGCCACAAACATCCAGTGACTTTTTACTGAAAATCAGAAACAGTCTTACTCATTTATTATACTTTGCTAAATTATAGACTCACAAAATGGAAAAATAATGGCTCAAAAAGTGAAATAACTGTAAACATTAAGGAAAATGTAAGATTTTACATGTAGGAGGTAAAAGAGGATTCAGGTAGAGTTTTGACACCACTGGGTTTCTGTATATTATAGACAATTGATCTGGCTTATTGATCGTTCTTTGTCAGTCCTGCTGGCTCGACACAAGGGGGCGGTATATGCTCACACAACGAACAACTGCGCAGATGTTTAAAAATATTTTAATCTCCTTTAAAGACACAATAACAATCATTTTAAGTCACTTTTTATTAGATATTTACAAATCTGAGAAAATCAAATCAGAAACTAGATGTTAAAATGGGTCAAACTAAAGTCACACATAGATAAATTTAACTTTTAGGAGGAAATGTTTAAAGTCTAAACATATTTTAATGTTTTATGTGAGTTTTCACGTCATTAAGTAAAAATCAGATTTAAAGAAGCAGAAAGTCCATGAGTTTGTTCTGGTTTCCAGCTGGACCCAGTCATGAAGTTGTTCTTGTTTATAACGTGATGACGGGTAAAAATCACCTCCTCAGGAGGCGAGGAAGATGAGACAACAGCTAAAGTGTCAGCTGGAGTCTGGCGTGAGGAAAACGGGCGTCAGAGGTTTAAATCAACTCGGCTTTGTCAGGTCAATAAAGCAGAATGTTTCCCTCCAGCAGAGTTATTGTTAGCTGATGACGACCGGCCTCCAGAGGAGCCGAGTGTCGACTTCTACCGCCATCCTGGGCCTGGACCCGACGGCCTGTCAGGCCGAGCAAAAGGTTCTGGTGAGCAGGGAGAGCAACTGGTGTCACTGGTCTAGAAAAAGGCAAACAGTAACACAACCAGTTTACGACCCCTGGCACTCATTAGAGCCAGGAGGGGCCCGCGGATCGACCCGGGGCCCGGAGCGCCCTGCACTCTGCTGCTGCTGGGGAGATTTATGCCCTACGATTCCAGGTGGCGTTATGATCCGGCAGAGAGGACGATGAGGTGGAGTGCTGGGACTTGTCTCTGCACTTAACAGGTTGGCTTGTTTTCCCTGTGAGCAGTACATCACCCGTTCATTAGAGGGGGTTCTGCAGCAAAATGACAGGTTCTGTCGGGTCAGAGCAGTAGATGGTGACCCAGAGGGGCTCCGCATGAAAATACCTTTCACTTTGGAGACAAACTGTCCAGAAAACCCATATTTATATCCCCTAAGAAGGTAAATAATTCACACTTTACACTCAGAAAACTGAGAGAGAAATATTCAGGATCTTTTTTTTTTTTGTCATCAATAGTTTTTAAGTCAACAGATTAAGTATTTCATACTTTTTTTCTTTGTTCACCATAAAAAGTTTATTTCAAAATGGAATTACTGAAAAAAAATCCACAAAAACAATGACTAAAAATATCACACAAAAATAACAATAGAGGCCATTCATTAGATAAAATACTTATATCAAAATAAGTTAAACTTTTCCAAGTTCAACTTTATGCCAAAAGGTGAAAATTAATAGTTTATAAATGAAAGTGAATTAATTTTCTTAGAGGAAATTTTATTGTTTCTCCATATACATTTTTAAACAGAAGACAAATAATAGCATTGATATCACTATTCATTAAAAAAGCAATTTAATCTTTATTTAATTAAATTATAAACATTTTTAGCTTTTAATTTTTAATTCTTAACTAAATTTGACTCCAGAGATTTGTAGTAATTTAAATATTTTGAATTACAAATTTTTATTTCAGATCATTCTTACCAACATTCATAGCTGAACGTCGGCCCACCGCCGCTCCTTCACCGCAAAAACACAAAATCTTACCGGGTATTTTTACCTAGTTTCTGGTGCAAATATCTCAGTGCACATCAAATAAGACAAAACTAACTTACAAGTAACTTTTCTGTAAGATAAAGCAGCTGGCTTTAAGGCAATAACTCCTTAATATTAATAAAAATAACTGGCAGATTATTTCACTTATGGGAAAAAAATGTATTTATATTAGTGAATAAATCTGCCAGTGGAACTAATACTTTTTATTAATATTGAGCAATTATTTATGTAGAAGCAGCTCTTGTACTTTGCTGAAAAGTTTCTTGTAAGTTACTTTTCTTATTCCAGGTGTATTTAGTTATTTGCACTAGAAACTAAAACTACTTGGTTTGTGTTTTTGCAGTGTTTTCCTCCAGATCCGGCTCCAGCAGTGATGGATCTGTGTCCGGTCCCGGCTCTGGCCCATCAGCTCTGCGTGGGCCAGTGCAGGTCAGTGGGAACCCACCTTGGCGGTTCTGGTTCTGCGTCACCGGTCCGGGACAGATGGTGCCAGGCTGGTGCTGGGACCCTGAACGGGGCAGGGTTCCCGCGTACCAGAGCGGCCGCTGATTTATGCTGCGGCTCCTTCTGCACAGTTGACCTCTGCTGGTTGAGGGTCATCCACCGGTGGGGTGGCTGAAGGGAGGTCGGGTGGGGTTCTGGGAGGTCGGGTGGGGTTCTGGATGCAACAAATGGGTGCCTGAGAAAGGGTGGCTGTGCCGTCCCACGGGACTGGTGTCGTCTTGTGGCCCTCAGAGCAGCTGCAGGATCTGTGCAGCATGTGTGTACAGAAAGCAACGCGTTTCATTTAAACCATCGGTGTTCAAAGTGAGGCCTGGGGGCCATTTGTGGCCCTGAGCTTGTTTTCTGTGGACAAATTAGGACAAAGATACATCTTTTAAATTAAACTATACTTACCAAATGGTAGATGCAACACAGAGAAAACATCTTTCCCAAACTTTCTGGTTTCCTTCTGTTGTCATGGTAACTTATACTCTAAAGCATAATTCTGCTAGTTGTAAAGTAATTTATTGGTAAAACCCATAAAAAATCTATTAAAATATTCATTATTAGCCATCAATATTTACTTTTAAAATAATATTGAATATTTTTCACATTGAGGTAACTTGGTAGTATGCAGATAAAAATAGCTTTTATTTGATTTATTTAAGTACACAACTGTTTCCTTGAACGCTCTGTTTGTGTCGCTTCAGGACCGCATAAAAACCTATGATGTGCCACATTTGGTCCCCGGACCTTGAGTTTGTTCTAAAGTACCTTATTGCACCCTAATCTGCTTTTAATTAATGTATCAAAACTTTGCAAAACACAGCTATTAAATTTGTTTCTATTGACCATATAATTGCAGAATTTGACATTTTGAAAATAAGTTTGTTTAATTGAAACACGTCAATTCCCAGAAAACTCTTTTCTGATGAAAACTTTTTTGATGTGTTGGTTATCAAAATTGGATTATTTCACAAAACTCCACTGGAAACTATTTTTTGACACGAGTCGCATGATTAATAACTGGATGTTGCTACTGAGGCAAACCACGAAGAAGACGATGACAGGAAGTGGTTTTAATGAGATCACATGAACAAACTTCTTCCTGTGTGATTTTAATTGTGTTTCTTATTTAATGGAAACAGAAATGACAAAACTAAGTTTTGTTTTTTTACATTAGCAGAATATCAACGTTTTTTTTTTTTGCTGAAATTCGTAACGGAAACACAACTGGTGTTTTCAAATGAAGACCTACCTGGATCCTCTCTGTACTTTCTTTCAGTTTTCTTTGACAAGCAAACTGGACGCCTTTGATTTAACAAGAAAAATGTGTAAAGACCATTTGTAGTTTTGGATCTGCAATCTTATTTTTAAAAATAAAATCTCATTACTCTTTTTTTTATATAAAAATAGTCCCTGCAATTTATTGAGTAGGTAAAAAAAAAACTAAAAACACAACATATTGGGTGATTTTAGTTTCTGAAACTGATATTTTCTTGGCCCACTTTTGAGCTGACTTGAAAAGAAATTTGGACACCCCTAAATTAAACCCACCTTTAGCTTACTAACAGACAAAAGCAGCAATTTGCAATTCAGAAAATCACTAAAACTAAAATTCATATTTATCATCAGAGACTGAGCGGCTCCCACGCAGCTCTGACGATTAATCTTCAGCTGGTTTCATGTTTTAGAAACAGTTGAGTTAAACCTGAGGTGATGGTAATAGGCTATTAAAGCCCTTTAATTGGAAAGCCCCTCTGCCTCCGCCCCCCAGCCCACCACACAGCTGACTAATGAAATCAGTGAATAGCAGCCTTGAAAGAGCGGGACAAAAGCAGAGATAGAGAAAAGACAATATCCTTGTGTGGGAGAATTAGTTACACTCAGTAGTCTAAGTGTTCAAAGCACGGAGCAAAATAAAAAAAATGAGGTTGGGGGGTAGAAGAGGGGATTAAAGGAGAAGTCCACACAGGTGGGAGTGAGATGGGGGGGTCACATGACAGGACGTTACCTCGTTTGATAAACAGCAGCCGCAGCTCACAGGAAGGAGGAAGGGAGGAATTTTATAGGCGGAATTAACTGCTTCAGCACATCAGGTATTCATTAGGGTAAATCTCCCAGGTGTGCTGTATGTGTGAGAAAAGCAGTCACACGGCTCTGATGCACGACGGCGACATGGCAGCAAGGCGCGGGGCAGTTAGGTGCTTTTAATTGTTTCTCACAGCTCAGCTCAGCTGGAAACACCGAGATCAGAGCCGCAGTTACAGATGATAATGTTCTGGTTCTGAAACAGTTAATCTGAGGTCCAGAACCTTCTGGATCTGAGAAGAAGCATAAAGAAACAAAACAGGAAATCCTCTTTCATACATCCGAATCAACATCAGTGGATTAAAACGTAGAGAATCAAAGTTAGGCTAAAATTATACAAGAGTGAAGCTTAATATAACAACGCAAATAGTTAAAATCCAGAGTACTTGAAACCCTCTCTAAAAATACTCATAACTAAACCAGAAGTGGAGATTTAAAGTTTAACTTTTAACTTAACCCGACTGCTCACCCAGTTTGGACAAATCTCCATCTGTACAGTGACGTCACTGTATTTTGAATCACTGCTGCTGCTTTACACAATCATCTCCAACTCACTGGGTTTATTTGGGAATCAAAACTTCTTTATGCTGCTTTTCAGGCACATAGTCACCAATAAGTGACGTATTTGCATGTCTTTTGTTTTCTCTCTTTGGTGAAATGTATGAAATAAATGAATCAAATCAATAAAAACCTTGATATGTTGTTAAAGGTGTGATTGAACTAATGAGACATCGCTGACAAATCTGCTGACACACAAGATGATAAATGAATGGAGAAAGTGACATCTGTATTGCTGCAACTGCCTTTCTTGTTACTGTGATTTTTTTCCCCCCTATCAGTCGATCACAGCTGGAAGTCCTGGGAGTTTTTCCTCAGGGTGTGAGGGAGTCTGGATGGACTGGTTTCTGGGCCAGAGAGCAGCACAGGCCAAGGCCCCAGCCCAGAGCCCAGAGCCCTGCGTTCGTCATGCAGCTCCTGTTCGCTCCCTCCAGGGCTCAGAGTGTGCATGTCAGGACAGATAGGTCACAGATAAGTCTCTTTCAAGGCTTCTTCTTTCAACCCTTTTGCTCCGCAGCGTTGTGATTACGAGCTTTGAACCTGTGCCTCATTCCTGCAGCGTGTCCTTCGTCCTCCTTCGCTGTCAGTCACAGCAGCTTCTCTGCTACTCTGGGCTCAGTTTGCACATCTTGGCCGACTCTCCTGAACTCGAAGCTTTCTGGTAACTTCTTCTCTACTCAAGTAACATCTAAGTTTAGCCAAGCCGTTCCATGTGGCATCGCTCTGTGTAATTCTTTCAAATCTTCTCAGTGTTACCCATGACTGAACCTTAACAGATAGTTTTCTCTGCCTGCATTTCTTTCAATAGCCCTGGTTCTTCAGGAGGATTAGATCCACTTAACCCCCCCGATGAGCTCAAACGCCCTTCAGATCATGTTTATATCTCCACCACAGCCTGAAGCTATTATCATATCACCATTTCACATTATCACTTTTCCTCCTGAGCGTTGCTCAGCCCTGATGTTTTGAGTCCAGAGGTTGTAAGTTATTTAAACATCGGTGTTTAGAATATTTCTGAGGATCTGAGAACCCTGAAAATCTCATAATATCCATAGAGACAAAGCAACACTCATAAACGTCCACAAAATGTTTGTTAATGGAAACGTAGGATTGTTATGGGTCAAATTCACTGGCTGGGCCTTGAATAAAGTCAAACAACTGATACCATCTGGTTCTAATGTCTGTCAGTGGTGTCCTTTTGCACCTGTTGTGTCCCAGTTTTACTTTATTCTCTAAAAGACTCTGAGTTTCCTGGACAAGATGAGCTCAGAGGAGATGTAGAAATACAAAACTTAGGAAGTTTGTTACTTACTGTGTTGCTTCAAATGGATTACCAAAAATATGCGAACATTTGAAGAGATTAACAGAAATCTCTTTATAGCTAACGCCAGTGATAAATAAGAAGTAGTGCTGTAGATTAATCAAATTCAGATTTCAACAACAACAACAACAAAAAGATTATTTTTAAATCTTATTGTTTTGGAAAGTTTATCTCTGCAACTATGCTTTTATTTTGTAAAGTCTCAGACTTCTGACTAGGAGTAAAATGTCACGGTTTGATTTTAAAAGGGGTGGTTTTGTGTATTTTTTTGGAAGTGGCACACTATGCTACTCTTTAGCACAGTGCAATATATATAAAAAATTAACTTTGCATCATCTGATGCCTTGAAATTGGCCTCTGTCTCTTTAAAAACCTCCAATCCTTTCCAGCTTGTTTTTGACTTGGAATAACATTATAACATAATTCAAAGATGAAAAAAATAAGTTTTCAAAATATCCTCTTCACAGTTTGTTTCGTGCTGTAATGAAGAGACGATGGACGGATAATCAAACTAACTGGCCGAAAAGAGTCATGTTGTTTAGGTTCAGACATGTAGAAATAAAAAAGGTTGAAATCACGTTGGAGTTGTTGATGTTTAGAGAATCCAGTGAACCTGAGGTACCGAAGCCTCAGTGGGTTACAGTAACCGCCTTGCAATCAGAAGGTTTGATTCCAGCTTCGTTATGCTGATGTTCCTCTGGCCAAGACACAGAACCGTAAGCTGATCTGTGTCTGTTTGGGTCAGTGTGACAGGAAAAGCACCATAGCTGTTTTCTTTCCCACATGCTGTGCAGTGTTTTGGACCAGCTGAATGCTGCAGGCGGCTGGATTTGGACTTCTGGTTTTCCTCAGCTACCAGTGATGTTTACATTCAGCTTGATGTTGTTTCAGGTGAATCTTTAAGCTGGACGCACAATGAGCTCTGTGCTTTACTGATGTTGAAAGATCCGTACGTTGACATAAAGTTCTGGTTTGGTCCACCTTTCTCTCCTCATTGAGAAACCTCAATGTTCCCCAAATATTAGAGATTAGGAGTCCTGAATGCTTCGCTTTGGTATCCAGATAATTAGCATAACTAATGTATCACTGCACAAAAATGCAGCGACTAATTCACTTTCTAGTATCTGATAAAAACATCATGTATTGTTTTATACTGTCCTTGAGTGC